CAGGTCTGTGTCCAACAAAGAACAAATGGCGGTTAACTCACAATAGAATATCCCACGAGTAACCTGTTCTGTACCATATTCGAATGCCACGCCTACCTCGTCTCAGGGATAAGGGGTATAAGAACCTGAATAACAATAACTTACTTCAGGATCATAATCTGCCGTGATCATTATCGCACAATCAGTTCTAGCGAAGCGCATATGTAGGAAAGGTTCACAATGAACTTCTTGAAAGCCCTGTTCTTTCAAATCGTTTGTGGCTTTTTCCGAGAGAGCAGTCAAACGTTCGGCGAGCAATGGTGTGGATTCTAAATGGCAATACGAGAAGTACAACCCTCTTCTCTTCAATGTAACCGTTACAACACCCACCAGATGAAAATACGAGATTTGCAGGTTCTTGCACTTCGCTAACCGACTCTAGCCATTGCTATTCCATAAGCAGATAGGAGACTGGCATATTTGTGGATCAGAACAGTACTAATACCTGAATTACGCTTTATTTAAGTCGACATTAACAAAATAAAAACAGCAGGGTATGTAGGATTCATATGGCACAGCTATGAATTAACCACATGGTAAAATCACCTAGACTCTGGGCGACGGCACACGCATGTTGTCCGCCAGCCCCTCCAAAGCAGGCGAGTACGTGTGCTGATGTGTCATAGCCTCGAGCCTAAAATATTCCTAAATTACTACATGTTCGAATGGAAAGGACAGCTAACCCACAGTCAGATTGAGGCCTATCTTTTGCTGTGTACCTACCGAGATTCCGAAGAAGATTAGAGGGCAGGGAGATTAGGCTAAGTACCAGGTGAATTAGTATACGTTATCAAGCCCACCAGCGAAGAAAGTCTGCTTGGACCCTTGGTTTCTTTTCCGATACCCATACGCCAGATTACATTCTTCTTTTGACAGGGTGTGTCTTGCGAATGAGTTTAGCGCGGCGCAGAACTCGTTTTCTAATAGTTGGGAGCAAGCCACGAGATTGCAAGTAATTGTTAGTATCAGTACTTTATCATCAACTTGTCGCTTAGCCGCTTTAACAACTGGTGGACAACGGATCTGGCGCTGCGCCAAACTCACCCCACTGACACTCCTTTTCATCCGCGACGGATAAGGCTAAACGCAAGTTGACTGATCAACCGCACTGGGAGTCCTGGCATATGGTGAACAGTCGGAATTTCCTCTTCTCTTCTCGTCTTCCGAGTAACATCCTTCACCACTTCAAATACCACTATCCGAGAATTTCAGAGAATTTGCCCACTGAAACTTCGCCTGCGGGAGGTTGTAAGAACGCCCTGGTCTGGAAAAAATTGAATGCCGTATTCGGGATTGGGACACTCAACTAATCTGTAACGCAAAATAGTCACGAATTCGTTGGTGAAAAATAGTGGCGCCAAGTCTGCGCTAACGCCGTTCTGGCGCCAAACAGCGCCGGTAATAAAAATAAATCATGTATTTGCAATCTGAAGCCAAATAACCCTAGTGTGCAAGTTTACACCGTTGTTGAGAAGTGCCCATTTTCCTAAAGCATACCACGTTCTCAATAAATAAACAGCGCACCGTCAATATACTAGAGCATAACTTTCCAACCGAAACTTCTAAGTAAGCCAATTTATTTTCGGAACAGGAAATGCCTTCTAAAGCGGTATGAAATTACCAAACCTGCGTAATAGCCCTGATTGGACGACACATCTCTTCATTCGCAACATTTACAAAACCTAGGGCAGCCTGAAATTCAAGAGATGTCATTTCAATTGATATTTTGCGAAGGAGACACTACCTCTTCAACAGAATATTCCTTCTGTATGGCATCTGGATTACTTCTGATAAACTTATTGATTTGTTCGGTGACTTCTTTCATAGCAGTATACGAGGCTTCGCTGAATAAAACCGTTAAGCAAAAACGGCTGTCACAAAAACTGTGAAAATTTTTTGAAGATCTTACAGACCTATCCAGAGGCTGATCAGAATTAGGAACCGAAGATTTTGGGGAAATACTCCGGCATTATGCGTCCCAATACAAGATTTGCATCCGTGATTGCCAGATTTCTAAAAAATATCGCCTCGTGTAAAAATGCTCGAGAGATATATACCATTTTCACTTTAAATTCGCCCTTTTTCAAACCAAATTCGTCCTTTTTCAAACCAAATTCGTCCTTTTTCAAACCAAATTCGTCCTTTTTCAAACCAAATTCACCCTCACTTTTCATCAAGAACCACACTTATTAGGGCGGGCAACTCATCAACCAGATCACGCCAGACATCACTGCGAGCCCCGCCCCGACGGCCACGCCCACTTGTCAGCGCGGACATAGATTCTCAAATCTTGTTTCATAGGGTTTGGCACTCTCGACTGACCACGCCCACTGGCTTTTCGCGGATTT